GTTCTTTTTATTTTATTTTGCAAATTTTCAATAAAAACAAACACATTTTATTCGTCAAATAATTGTAACCCCCCTTTTTTACCTTTCAAACAAACTGTCAAAAGTGAAAAGAAGAATGATTGATGTGTTATTAATTATTTTAACACATCCACACTTGTCATCTTGTACAATTTTATCAATTATACCTGGCATTCAAAACATTTCATTTATCACAGTTTATAATGTTTATGCTGACATTGAGATGCTGACTGACTAATTAAAGTAATTTAAAGACCACTTTCTGATGTGTTCAAATGAGAGCCTTATCAAATACCGTAACAATTTTTCTATCCTATAAACAAAATATCAAACAGATTTCCTGTAAATATACTTATCTGATGACAAATCTGCTTTATGTGACAATTCTGACCATCAGTCTCTTTACTTGAATTTAAAAGCGCGAAATAACATTTGCTGACGTCACGTGACTTTTGTTCCAAGTCATTTAAATGTTTCACTCTGAGTGAATCATTGCTAACGGTGGGTGATAATAATTGACATTGACGTCGCATGCTTTCCGGTGAAAAAAACATCAACAATCCATAAGGGGACGACCATTTGATATTCTGGGGGGGGCCAGGAGGATTTTGAAAATAAATAACTCAGCCTTGATAATCACAAAAATAAATGGTTTGTTCTGTGGTAGTTTGAAAATAAATTACCTGACTTTCAATGTATTGAAAATAAATAACTCAGCAAGTCTAATCGAAAGTATGAGATGGCACCAGATTCTTCATAAATTCATCTTTTTTCCAAAAAAAAAATCGGGAAACACTTCCCATATCTTTTAATAATAAAAGTATAAATATTATTTAAATATACTTGAAATGTCAGAAAATTGGTTTCATTTAACTTGAGGTTAATTGTCTCAGGAACACTTGCCTCACTTTTATTAAATCAGGGCCTTAACTACATTGAGACAAATGCCTCATGTAGGAAATTTCAAAACCAAACGCTTGTCTCCATATCAAATTGTGTTCACCGTGAGTGCCTTGCAAGAAGCAAGTTCTGTTCTCCCTCAGACGTAGCCCCTGATTTTTCGGGATCAATGTTTCTTATTTATTTGTCTTTTGTTCATTGATTGCCCTTCTGTATTCTGTTAGTGTTGCTTTCATTTTGTAATTTAGTAATTTTATTATTAACTTGATCATGAGTTTAAAAAACACAGCAGCCACAGACTTAACTATGTGAATTACATTTTTGCTTTTAACATCATGCATATTTGTCTTTTGATGTTGTTCCTAGAAACTTAAGTCTTACACTTAATCTATAACGTGAGACCAAAATATTGTCATAAAATTATTAAAACAGAACTTGCATTTTCAGTTTAAGAAAGGGTCTGGGGAACACCCAGAAGGCATGATTTTGCATCATTTGTTCTATAGCTTCTTGGGCCTTCAGCGGTTCAAAAACCCTTCAAAAAAAATTTTGCCTCGCTCTGCTCGGCAAAACATGTTTGCCAATACTTTTAGCAGAGCCTTAGTTTCAACCAAACTTTAATACTGTGTATGTATGCAATACATGTATATGCATTGGGCGATATAAAAGATTCATTTCTGTAGAGGATAATAATTAATTCTGATTAAATGGTACATAATGACTTGACTATACATGAATTATTTATAATAAACAAATAATTTAAAAATTGTATGTTTTCGAATATTATAAATATAGTTGTGAAAATAAATAATCAGTCCCTTGCTTTAATGAAAATGAAAAATCTTGCTTCAATAGTGCAGAAAATAGATAATCTGTCCTCTTAGTTTACAAAAATAAATAACCGATCCAAAACAAATCCTCCTGGCCCCCCCCCCCCCCAGAATATCAAATGGTCGTCCCCTAATCATTAATCTGAAATGTTTTCAAGTTCTTAAAATATGCCGTATGATGATAAAGAGAGGCAGATTTATGAACTTGGAGATTGAGTCAGAAATTACGTCTTTGGAAGAAAGAAATAATAGTTTGACAGTGTACCACTGTAAAAAAAAAACGAGAAGAATAAATACTGAAAGTAAGTTCCAGTTTGTAAAAGTCCCAGATTTCATCCGACTGTCTCTATCTATTTCTGTTACTGTAGCGTAACTGTTCAGGTAGAACTGCTCAGTTTATTTATGTTTTCAAATGTAAAGAGAATATATTTTTATTGACATAAACATGAAAGGAGAGAGCCAGAACTTACATCTTGGGAAGAAAGAATTTAAAAATTGTTATTGAACAGTACAAATGTACCACTGAAAAACGAGCATAATTTGAATATTAAAAGTCTCAAAGTAAGTTACAGTTTGTTATAAATTCCCATGGTTAATATGACTTTATGAGGCAGGTGTTACCTGTGAAAGGGGACGAAGTCTGTATCAATTGTTTTTTTCAATTCTAACATATTTTAATGTTAAAAAAAAGAAAGGAAATACCGTAACGTTTTCGATGTTGGTCCAGTTGTAAGGGATTTTAGATATGACGTTATTACGTCGTTTTCAATGTAAACAAAGAAACGCTATCATCAGGTTACGTTTTTTTTTTCTTATCAAAAGATAATTAAAATGAAATTGTTATTGTGCTTATTCCTAGACTGAGAAATATATATTTTACTCAAAGTGTCATGACAAACGAGACCAGAAGAAAGAAAGAGATTTCTGTACAAACGCTAACCCGAATAATTCAGTCCTTCCCTGTGATCGACTCTCCCACTCCCATCGTAGAGCAATGGAATATAACGACTGAATTATTCGGTTTCACAAATGCGGGAAAATAAAAAAGTTAGAAAATAAAAAGTTAACAATTTTGAGTTCATTAGTACATGTAGAATGAAATTATTATTATTATTTTTTTATTGATTTTTCTACTGTAATTGGGGACTTCATCCCCATATAAACCAGATCTTTTTTAATTCACCATGGTTCAGGTTGCCAAGTTGCCCATGGTCAGATGCAAGACCATGGTCACAAAGGTAGAAAACCATGGTTGTCAAACTCACCATGGTCACAAAGGCAGTAAACCATGGTTGTCAAATTGACCATGGTCAACCACGGTTGATTAGAGCATGGTCAACCATGGTCAATGGTCAACCATGGTCACAAAAGTGGAAAACCATAGTTGACCATGGTTTTCAGCACATCCAACCATGGTTTGACCATGGTTATCAATGGTTAGCGATGGTAACCATGGTCAACCATGGTTGCATTTTGACAGGGGTTCTTTCGTATTCACATTTTCTTTTAAAAAAAAACCCGGCCCATTTGTTAAAAAACCAGAACGTTTTGAAATTTGCTCTCGAAAAACCAGGACAATGTAAATAAAGGCAACAGTAGTATACCTGTGTTCAAACGCTGAATTTTAAGTGAAATTTAAGGAATTCAGAATAAGATGAACAGTCATGAATAAAATCATTATACTTGCGAAATAGCAGGGGAAAAACAAAACAAAAGAAAATTAAACAATTTACAATAACCTTGCAGTATTATGATATATAGGAATTCTCTGAATGCTTTTAAAACGTTCTTTAGAACCGAGTACATGATTGATACATATTACAGAAGCGAACTCCTGGGTTTAGAAAACTAAGGAATAACAGTGAAAAATCAGAAAAAAAATATAATAAAAACAAATATTCTACTAAAAGAGAACTCCCCGCAAAAAATAAGATTACAGTAACAAAAACCTTAATCCGCCCATGTACTATTTCCCATTGACAGTAACATTTGAAGTGAATGGATTATCCAATAAAAAATTAAAACAACACTTGACTGCATATATACGTCCGAAGCGCATTTCTGTATATACCTACATCCGGAACGCTCAAAGCTTAATATTTGAAAGCCAGGTAAATATAAGAACCGAAACAATTGAAGAGGTGTATGGCCAAAAGGGACATTAAAAATAGCAAAATCCATCTAAGGGTAACTTTGCCCGAGGGAGTTGAAACCTGTTTCTTTATAATTTATATATAAACGGCCTATTTTAAATGATTGGTTGTTGGTTGCCAGTGGCAAATATTTCATGCATGTTCAGGACGATAACAATTTAACAATATTAAAATACAATAGGTAGCTACGTCCTGTAATAGAATCCGTTCAGGATGAAGGTCGGCAGGTTTAGATCGCCACTGGAAAATGAGGATATATTTGATAGGTCAGAATTTTTGCAACCAACGAACCACTCATAGAGTTGTTGTAAGGGTTCGTAATGTATAGAGAGCGTGGCACTCTCCTACACACCCCATTCTGACTGGACGTGGCTGCGTACTTGTATTTTGCTCAAAGTTGATAGTCGCACGATAACTTAAAAAAGTGCAAATAACAAATAAGGAACTATCCCTTTTTACAAAAATCAAATATCCCGTTTCGTTTTATTCGCTATTTAAAAATTGCAGTAATCATGGTAATAACAAAGATGACAAGTAATTTCTGCATATTGTTCATTTAGTGAGAGAATCAAAGTCTGTCAAAATCATGTATTACTAATGACAATAAATCAAATAGTGAATTAGACTGTTTCAGGCAAAAAGATCATAGGTACTTGGGGACAGGACAATTTTTTTTAGACTTCCACCTTTTTTCCAAAATCGGATATTTGTTTTGTTTTGTTTTAATTCCATTTATTTTCGCGTTTTTCAATATATATGTTATCTCCAACACGGTTCATGTAGTTATTCTGAATATGAAAGAACCTTTAGTAGCACTGCGAGCATTGTCATCACATACCCTCTTTTTCCATAGAAGTTTACTCACATATCAAACACTTATGCTACTTTGTATTCTAAACACCGAAAATTAACAGTTATACATGTATAAGAATAAGAATATTGTATTTTCCAATTAAAGGGCCCTATAAAGAGCTGTTATGACATTACATACAAATACATAAGATTATGGTAGATATTCTATTATTTTACTCGTACGAAAATTAGTAGGCGACTTGATTAAGCTAGTATAATTTTTAAATATTCATCCTCTATTTTTCAGACAATATCATCAAGACAGTACCCAGAGACAGTAAATCATCATGATTCGTGTTGCTATGATTACACTTCTCGTCGTGATTTGTACGGCACTTATTGTGGAAGCCAAAGCTGTACATAGAAGAAAGAGGAATAGTACGCATCTATATTTAAACTTCTATTTCTAGAAAAATCTATTGTACATTTCTTTACGTATTTTTGTGATTTTTTTATGATAGACTCCCTATTTTCACACGATCGGGCATCCAAATGTTATATTCCTTTTCATGCTTCTACAAGTCAAGAGTGATTTTTTTGTAACAGATACCTATAACTTTAGTCCTTATATATTCGATTATAAAAGTAAATGTCTCATGTCGTGCAAGAAAATTAATTACTTTTTTTTATTACAAAAGGAGTATATCTATTTGCAGCAATCTTCATGTTTGAACAACGCGAATAAGCATCAATCCGAAAGTGACTGAACAACACAAGTTCACACAGAACGTGAAAAGTAACTTAAATCCGATTCAATTATAACATTAACAAGTATCTCCAAAAACACATGGTCGAGACAGACCGGTTTAGCACAAGCACAACATCTATGATTTTTTTTTAACGAACACAATATTATGTCCAGTGTTCAATTGTTGGTAAACAAAAAAGAAGATATATCTATAATTTGTATCGTCCATTAGGTGAAGTCGACCTTTCCAGCTCAATTAAAATGAGTTTAACAGACAGTTCTTAAATTTTATTTTCATTGTTGTAGGTGAGAGTCCAAGACTAAAACGAGCATGGGATTATTATTCCCATCTTAAAGTTGAACCTCCAGGTATGTTACTGTAATTGTAAGATGTTTTCAATGTTTCAGAAATAGTTTCCATTTTGTAAACCAAGGTAATTTTCCATATTGACTGATGAGAGTAATGTTCAAGTTATCGCATTGATTAAGAAATCATTCAGAAATTAAGGGCTACTCCCAATTCCCTGTTCCTGATATCAGAAGGTAAATTCAGACAAGCACTACGGATCATGGATGCACGAAATTAATAATCTAACGCATTCTTTTTATTTTCATGATGTCAACCATGATAATTGTTGACTTGGACTGATAAGTGTAATGTTTTGATAACCATGCATTCACATGGTGCCAATTTTGATTATTGTTGACTTGGACTGATTAGTGTAATGTTTTAATAACCGTTCCCATGGTGTCAACCATGATCATTGTTGACTTGGACTTATTAGTGAAATGTTTTAATAACTGTTCCCATGGTGTCAACCATGATCATTATTGACTTGGACTGATTAGTGTAATGTTTTAATAATCGTTCCCATGGTGTCAACCATGATCATTGTTGACTTTGACTGATAAATGTAATGTTTTAATAACCGTTCCCATGGTGACTTGGACTGATTAGTGAAATTTTTCAATAACTGTTCCCATGGTACCAACCATTGTCATTGCTGACTTTGATGGGTGTAATGTTTTAATAACCTTCCCATGGTGCCAACCATGGTTATTTTTGACTTGGACTGATTGGTGAAATGTTTAGATAACCGTTCCCATGAATGATGGTGCCAACCATGATCATTGCTAACTTTGATGGGTGTAATGTTTTAATAACCGTTCACATGGTGCCAACCATGGTCATTGTTGACTTGGACTGATTAGTGTAATGTTTTAATAACCGTTCCAATAGTGCCAACCATGATCATTGTTGACTTGGAATGATTAATGTAATGTTTTAATTACCGTTCACATTGTGATAACCATGAGCATTGTTGACTGCGACTGATAAGTGTAATATTTTAATAACCGTTTACATGGTGCCAATCATGGTCATTGTTGACTTGGACTGATAACTGTAATGTTTTAATAATAGTTCCCATGGTGCCAACATGGTCATTGTTGACTTGGACTGATTAGTGTAATGTTTTTAATAACCGTTCCCATGGTGCCGTGTTGACTTGGACTGATTAGTGTAATGTTTTAATAACCGTTCACATGGTGCCAACCATGGTCATTATTGACTTGGACTGATAACTGTAATGTTTTAATAATAGTTCCCATGGTGCCAACATGGTCATTGTTGACTTGGACCGATTAGTGTAATGTTTTAATAACCGTTCCCATGGTGCCAACCATGATCATTGTTGACTTTTACTGATTACTGTAATGTTTTAATAATCGTTCCCATGGTGCCAACCTTGATCATTGTTGACTTCGACTGATTAGTGTAATGTTTTAATAACCGTTTCCATGGTGCCAACTATGGTCATTGCTGACTTTGATGGGTGTAATGTTTTAGTAATCGTTCCCATGGTGCCAACCATGGTCTATGTTGACTTTGATCATGTTGATGGGTGCAATGTTTTAATAATAATTTCTATGGTGCCAACCATGATCATTGCTGACTGTCACTCATTAGTGTAATGTTTAAATAACCGTTACCATGGTCATTGTTGACTTTGATAGGTGTGATGTTTTAATAACCGTTCCCATGGTGCCAACCATGATCATTGTTTACTTTGATGGGTGTAATATTATAATAACCGTTCCCATGGTGCCAACGATGATCATTGTTGACTTCGACTGATTAGTGTAATGGTTTAATAACCGTTCCCATGGTGCCAACAATGGTCATTGCTGACTTTGATGGGTGTAATGTTTTAATAACCGTTCTCATGTTGCCAACCATGGGCATTGCTGACTTTGATGGGTGTAATGTTTTAATAATCGTTCCCATGGTACAAATCATGATCATTGTTGACTGCGACTGATTAGTGTAATGTTTTAATAACCGTTCCCATGGTGCCATGTTGACTTGGACTGATAAGTGTAATGTTTTAATAACCGTTCCCATGGTGCCAACCATGGTCATTGTTGAGTTTGATCTTGTTGATGGGTGTAATGTTTTAATAATCGTTCCCATGGTGCCAATCATGATCATTGTTGACTGCGACTGATTAGTGTAATATTTTAATAACCGTCCAGACGGTGCCAATCATGGTCATTGTTGGCTTGGACTGATTAGTGTAACGTTTTTAATTACCGTTCCCATGGTGCCGTGTTTACTTGGACTGATTAGTGTAATAAGTTTAAATAACCGTTCCCATGGAAGATGGTGCCAACCATGATCATTGCTAACTTTGATGGATGTAATGTTTTAAAAACCGTTCACATGGTAACAACCATGGTCATTGTTGACCTTGACTGATTAGTGTAATGTTTTTATAAACGTTCCCATGGTGCCAACCATGATCATTGTTGACTTGGACTGATTACTGTAATGTTTTAATAATCGTTCCCATGGTGCCAACCTTGATCATTGTTGACTTCGACTGATTAGTGTAATGTTTTAATAACCGTTCCCATGGTGCCAATCATGGTCATTGCTGACTTTGATGGGTGTAATGTTTTAATCATCGTTCCCATGGTGCCAGCCATGGTCTATGTTGACTTTGATCATGTTGATGGGTGCAATGTTTTAATAATAATTTCTATGGTGCCAACCATGATCATTGCTGACTTGCACTCATTAGTGTAATGTTTAAATAACCGTTACCATGGTCATTGTTGACTTTGAAAGGTGTAATGTTTTAATAACCGTTCCCATGGTGCCAACCATGGTCATTGTTTACTTTGATGGGTGTTATGTTATAATAACCGTTCCCATGGTGCCAACCATGATCAGTGTTGACTTCGACAGATTAGTGTAATGGTTTAATAACCGTTCCCATGGTGCCAACAATGGTCATTGCTTACCTTGATGGGTGTAATGTTTTAATAACAGTTTCCATGGTGCCAAACATGGTCATTGTTGACTTGGACTAATTAGTGTAATGTTTTAATAACGGTTCATATGGTGCCAACCATGATCATTGTTGACTTTGATGGGTGTAATGTTTTAATAACCGTTCTCATGTTGCCAACCATGGGCATTGCTGACTTTGATGGGTGTAATGTTTTAATAATCGTTCCCATGGTACCAATCATGATCATTGTTGACTGCGACTTATTAGTGTAATGTGTTAATAATCGTTGCCATGGTGCCAACCTTGATCATTGTTGACTTCGACTGATAAGTGTAATGTTTTAATAACCGTTCCCATGGTGCCAACCATGGTCATTGCTGACTTTGATGGGTGTAATGTTTTAATAATCGTTCCCATGGTGCCAACCATGGTCATTGTTGACTTTGATTGGTGTATTTGTTTTAGTTACCGTACTCATGGTGCCAACCATGATCATTGTTGACTTGGACTAATTAGTGTAATGTTTTAATAATCGTTCCCATTGTGATAACCATGATCATTGTTGACTGCGACTGATTAGTGTAATGTTTTAATAACCGTTCACATGGTGCCAATCATGGTCATTGTTGACTTGGACTGATTAGTGTTATGTTTTTAATAACCGTTCCCATGGTGCCGTGTTGGCTTGGACTGATTAGTGTAATGTTTTAATAACCGTTCCCATGGTGCCAACCATGATCATTGTTGACTTGGACTGGTTACTGTAATGTTTTAATAATCGATCCCATGGTGCCAACCTTGATCATTGTTGACTTCGACTGATTAGTGTAATGTTTCAATAACCGTTCCCATGGTACCAACCATGGTCATTGCTGACTTTGACAGGTGTAATGGTCGTTGCTTACTTTGATGGGTGTAATGTCTTAAATTACCGTTCTCATGGTGCCAAGCATGGTCATTGTTGACTTGGACTGATTAGTGTAATGTTTTAATAAGCGTTCCAATGGTGCCAATCATGATCATTGTTTACTTGGACTGATTAGTGTAATGTTTTAATAACCGCTCACATGGTGCCAACCATGGGCATTGCTGACTTTGATGGGTGTGATGTTTTAATAATCGTTCCCATGGTGCCAACCATGATCATTGTTGACTGCGACTGATTAGTGTAATGTTTTAATAACCGTTCACATGGTGCCAATTATGGTCATTGTTGACTTCGACTGATTAGTGTAATAATTTAATAACCGTCCAGATGGTGCCAATCATGGTCATTGTTGACTTGGACTGATTAGTGTAACGTTTATAATAACCGTTCCCATGGTGCCGTGTTGACTTGGACTGATTAGTGTAATAAGTTTAAATAACCATTCCCATGGATGATGGTGCCAACCATGATCATTGCTGACTTTGATGGATGTAATGTTTTAATAACCGTTCACATGGTAACAACCATGGTCATTGTTGACTTTGACTGATTAGTGTAATGTTTTAATAACCGTTCCAATGGTGCCGTGTTGACTTGGACTGATTAGTGTAATGTTTTAATAACCGTTCACATGGTGCCGTGTTGACTTGGACTGATTAGTGTAATGTTTTAATAACCGTTCCAATGGTGCCAATCATGATCATTGTTGACTTGGACTGATTAGTGTAATGTTTTTAATAACCGTTCCAATGGTGCCGTGTTGACTTGGACTGATTAGTGTAATGTTTTAATAACCGTTCCCATGGTGCCAACCATGGTCATTGTTGACTTGGACTGATTAGTGTAATGTTTTAATAACCGTTCACATGGTGCCAACCATGGTCATTGTTGACTTTGATGGGTGTTATGTTTTAATAACCGTTCCCATGGTGACGTGTTGACTTAAACTGATTAGTGTAATGTTTTAATAACCGTTCCAATGATGCCAACCATGATCATTGTTGACTTTGACTGATTACTGTAATGTTTTAATAATCGTTGCCATGGTGCCAACCATGATCATTGTTGACTTGGACTGATTACTGTAATGTTTTAATAATCGTTGCCAAGGTGCCAACCTTGATCATGGTTGACTTCGACTGATA